CTGAAAGGCAGATGCACATGCACAAAGGAATATTTAACTTGAAGGAAATATAATTTCCCTGTTTGTAAAGACAATTTCCAGCAGATATTATGGGTGCTTTTGTTCTTGCCAAATTTTGTACTTTTTCAATATATTAGAATTTTTAGTATGAATTTACAGCATCATAACTAAGGTAATAAAATGGAATAAGATGTTTCAAAAATATATAGAATATTTTAAATTTTTCAGTTGTTGACTAATTTTTATTTGCCAACTCCAGACTTGTTGGCTAAAATCCTGTTCTTACTCTTTGTTAGTCTTCTGGTTTTATAATATTGCTGGAAACAATAATTCCTTATTGCTTTTTTTAGTGATGCAAATTATTCCTCTTTTCCCCTCCCAAATAAGCCAAAATCTATATACCGCCAATTTTCCATTTTAAAAATATTGCTTAAAGCGATCAACAAGAACCATGATGTATTTTGTACAAAAGATTTTTAAAAGATTTCCACATTGTAGAAGCCCATAAAAGACTGCAGCACCCAGAAGGAATGAATAACTGAGAATTTTGCATATATCATAGAACACTAGAACAGGAAGGAACCTCGAGAGGTCATCAAGTCCAGTCCCCTGCCCTCACGGCAGGACCCGGTACCGTCTAAACCATCACTGAAAGAGGTCTTTCTAACCTGCTCTTCAATATCTCCAGAGATGGAGATTTCGCAACCTCCATAGGCAATTTATTCCAGTGGTTAACCACCCTGATAATTGGGAAGTTTTTCCTAATGTCCAACCAAAACCTCCCCTGCTGCAGTTTAAGCTGTTTGCTTCTTGTCCTACCCTCAGAGGCCAAGGAGAACAATTTTTCTCCCTCCTCCGTATGACACTGTTTTAGATACCTTAATACTGCTATCATGTCTCTTCTCAGTCTTCTCCGTTCCAAACTAAACAAGCCCAGTTCTTTCATAGGTCATGTTCTCTAGACCTTTAATCATTCTTGTTGCTCTTCTCTGGATGTTCTCCAATTTCTCCACATTTTTTTTTTTTTGAAATGTGGTGCCCAGAATTGGGCACAATACTGGGCACAATACTGGACACAATATGCAGACCTATATGATTTTAAGTTATTAATTTCTTTCATTTTCAATTTTATTCTTTCATTATTTTCTTTCTTGAAGTGCTGAAACTATTGATCACTTTTTAAGTGTCTGTAGTTAATTAAACTGTTAAGGGTGATAGAATTCAGGTTTAGGTGCTGGGTCACAGTTACATTTTAAGGTCTTCAACTACTGTAATAGTATTGTCATAAAGGTTAATACTTTTTAAATCACAAAACTTATTTGAGCTTCTGAAATGCAAGTGAAAGATGATAATGGAACCTTCGCTTTTCTTTTTTAATGTAATTGATTACTACACTATATTACTTATACAAACGAATGTCCTTGATTGGGCAGTGACTTGTGCACATGTCAACTCCGTGCAATGTGGTTAGTTCAACTGACTTAGAGCAAGTGAAGATTGATGTATGATGATATCCAGTACATAACTATGTCAGTTTATTGAGATTCCCTTCAGTGTGTTTTCTTGATCTCATTATTATCCTATAACATGTCTAAACTTCTATTAGTAAAGATTTTTTTGAAGTATTCAGTAGCTCCAAGAAGCATTCTTGTAGTACCCAAGTGAATACCTAATTGATATGTTGTGCACACTGCAGATTTGAATGCAGCAACTGAGTGTAACATAAAAGCCAATACATTATTTATTTCTTCTTTAATTCAATAAGAAAAGGCATAAGAACAGCCATAGTGGGTCAGACCAAAGGCACAACTAGCCCTGTATTCTGTCTTCTGTCAATGGCCAATGCCAACTCCAGAGGGAATGAACAGAACAGGTCATCATCAAGTGAACAAGATATCTCCTGTCATCAAGATTTCCTCTAAGCTGCCCCAGATCCCAGGCCTTTTAGAATCTCTGCTGGGAGTGCTGAGTGGCGCTCCAGAGCCCTGCGCCACATGCTCCGGTGGGCTCTGAGGACTGAGGGGCAGAGGGGGCACCAGGCTGTCCAGGTGGTACTGGCTACCCCAGCCTCGCCCCTTCCACCTGAGACCCCACCCCTTCCAGGAGCATGAAGCTGGTCCCCTCCCCCCACATTTCCCAGAGGCCTAGCAATCCTGTCAGCTTCCCTGGCTATTTACTCATTTTATCCAAAAAAACCCCAAGCTTTAACACAATTTATTTCTATCACTTTTATGACTTCCTGATCTTAATTTTTGTTCATATATCTCATTTTTATCTTTGGAGTGGCATGTTAATAGTTAATAGGCCTGTGTTGTGGTTTCCAGTGGTAGAGAAGTGTAAATGTCTTGGATGCTTTATGTTGTGTGAATGCTAGCTTCTCTTGTGTCAGTCCCTAAAAAAATACATCTTTCTAAAGTTACAGTTGATCAAGAAGGCCAGTCTATAACTATTGAGTTCAAAACAAATTCTCTCTTACAGTACAGGGCAAGCTATGCTTAGTAGTTTGCTTTATTTTATTAAACCATTTTGTTTGTTTTTCTGGTTATCCAGGGAGTTATTTGTGGCTGCTTAAAGGTTGACTGCATGGCTTTGAGATACCATCACATTCAGTTAAATGCATTTAGGATGAGTGCTCTGTGCAGTAGGAGTAGCGCTGAGAAACCTATAACAAAGCAAATTAGTTTGAGAGCTTCCATCTGTCACTGCACCGGGGCTTAGTGATTATTAATGTAAGCATAGCTCACTTTTTTAAAAGGAAAATGGTTCTGTGCTTTCAGTGACAAATTTTCTCAAGGGAGGGTTTCTAAGAAACAAAAGCAATATGTGTATCACACCTACAAGTGACTAATGAGAAGCCTAATTGTTCATGCCCATGTAGTAAGACAAGAATGAATGCGCACAAAAAGCCCAATCTTCTGAGCTGCATCTCAGAAAAGTGAAGGTGGTATGAGAATATGGGTAATAAAAATTCTGTGCTCATAAGCTATGTCAAACATCATGATGGCCAGGTAAACTAAAATCCTGCAGACTGTTACTAGTTATGGTCTATTACTACCTCTAGTAGGCCTAGTCAGACTGGGCCTATTGTTTTGCTTCCTAAAACTCCTACTGACTTCAGCTGAAACTTGGGAGTGCTTTGTGGAAAAGTGGTGACCATGATAGTGGGGAGAATATTTATATTGCAAATCAATCACCACCACACATGCTACTTAGACATAATCTGATATTTCCCATTTTAAAAAACTGAATTATGGCTTCATACTGCTGGAGGTGCACTGAGTTGTATGGTCTGATGTGTAGCACTTAGCCTGTAGTGATTGGAAAAGTATCTGCACATAGCAGAGACAGGCAAAATGCCTCTCAAGGTACTGGAGTTGACTGCTGTGACCTTAAGGTATGACTGTTTTCTCATGTTTGCCTCCATGCCTTAGCAGATGGGCAGCACTAGTTTCCTAGCCCTGTCCCCAGCCTTCTTGGTCCTTGCACTTTTGGGATGTGCAGTATAGCTCATATCCAGTGCTCAAGAAGTGGTGCATGCCAAACCTTAGGGCAGGGGTGGGCAATAATTTTTAAAAGGGGGCCATGTAATAGATTTCTAAAGCCGGGGGCTTTGGGCAGAAGGGGTGGGGCCAGGAGACTTCTCATGCTCCCCCTTCGCCCCACTGACCCTGATTGGTCTGAGGTGAGCATATGAAGTCCCCCCCTCCGAAAGAATCTCCAGGTGTTTTAAAACAGCTGGCAGTTCCCTCTAGGCCGGGGCGGATATAGGGCAGGGTGAGCGGGGCGGCTGCCCCGGGCCCCGTGCTTCAAGAAGCCTCGCGCATGCGCCGTGGCAAAGGGAGGGTCCCACGAAATTGTGCTGCCCTGGGCCCCGCAAAATGGTCATCTGCCCCTGCCTCTAGGTATCACAGTGGGAGGAGACCTCGTGCACTCACCTTGTCCCCCAGGCCAATTAGGGCCTGGGGACAAGGGGAGCACATGAAGTATCTCATCCACAGCCTCCGCCCTGCCAGGGGCATGCAGTGGCTACAGAGAAACCCCCGCTGTTTTAAAACAGTTAGTGTTTCTAGCTGCCTCACACCCTTGGTGGTGGGTAGAGGGAGGAGACTTTTCCCGCTCCCTCGTCCCCAGGTCTCAATTGGCCTGGAAGCAATGGAGTGGTAAGGTGGCCATGGGCTGGATCCACTGGCTTTGCGGGCCAAATCTGGCCTGTGGAGACCTCTTTGCCCGCTCCTGCATTAGGGTGTTTTTTAATCTTCCAAATTCCCTGCACAGCAGTGCAAAAGGAATCATGGTCTTGTATGAAGTCATAAAGAATGAAGGCAGTAAAGTAAAATAATGTGTCGCTATCAATGTTGGCTTGTTTTTTTTTTAAATAATACCCACAATTATATATTAGAGCTGGTGATAAAAATGTAGTCAACAACTTTTTGATTGGAATTGGCTAGACCATCAAATTCAAAAAATTCTGCAGAATCTTGTTGCTTTCAGTGAAAACTAGGTTTCAAAACCTGCCTGGTTTCCTACCAACTCATACACCTAGTTCCTCGGCAGCCCACCTTGCAAATGGCAGGGGACCAAGAGTCTGCAAGTTCTGGCAGTCAAGGTTCCAGCTTCTTGGCTGACCATTCTACCTGACTGGGACATCCTGGCAGATGGGCTTCTTAAAATTTAGGGCTTCCAGGACTCCTGACTCTAGGGCAATCTACCTGGAAAGCTGGGACACTCAGTAGAGCTGAATGGAGAGAGCTGAGTGTATTGCCCAGAGAATGTAGAAGTGGTGTTTTCATTCCTAATGAGAATGAAAGCAGATTTTAAAATTCTCCCAGGAATGAAAATGCTATTCTTCACCCAGCTCTTAGGTACATTAGTTGGTATCTTTTGTTAATTCTTTCAGGCTGCATACTAATATAACTTTGGATTTTGGGTACCAAGCATCTGTCCTGGATTAGTAAATATTTTCAGAAGTATTTTAAGATATATATTTCCATCACACTGAAAATATATACTCCATGTTGTTTTGCTGCTTTACCGCCAACTGTGAAACCTTTGCACACCTTTAAGTTGATGAAAAACACATTGTTGTTTTTATTTATTTAAGAAGCTATAATTGTAAAGAAAATACTTTTCCAGAACATTTGATATCCATATTATGCAGTAATTAAATCTTATGATCCTAGCTGAATATTTGGATATAAAGCACTATAAATGGGGTTAGAGACTAATTTGTTTGGCCTAAAGAAAGGTAGTTCCTTCCTCTTTCCCCTCCCCTTTTTTCCACCTGCTTACAGAAAGTTGTATATCTTCAGACAAGGCTCATAATTACCTTTCTGTGCAGTATTTGGGCCTCCAGGAAAGGCCTTACAGCATCTGTAAAGCTGGCAGCAAAATGGTATTTCCAGGCAGACAGAGTGTTGCAGGGTAGAGAGCCAATCCATGGCTTTGTCTGAGCAGCTGAGAACTTCATTTGAGTAATACCATGGTATACAGTAACACAGACCTGTGCCATGATCAAGTAAAGCACTGAGCAAGTGTTGGGGCCAATATTTATAGACCACTACGTAGCAGCCCCGGGGGGAGGGAACAAGAGAGAAATCCCTGGTTGAACTGAAGGCAATTTTATTTCTGATTTTTGCTTTTAAACAAAGTGGGGGTTTTTTTCAGTCAGATTTAATCTCCTCTTGGCTAGTCCTAACAGTCTTGCTCCAAGCTATGACTAGGAGGAAGCAGAATTAAAACAAGAAGCTTGAAGGTGAGTAATTAGCTAGTTCAGTATCATATTTACTTTGTGTCCTTGCCTGTTTGCTGCCCTTTGAGGCAGCTGCATCACTGAGCAAGACCTGGGGTATGTGTTCTGGTTATGAAGCAGTACTGCCTGGTGTTTAAGATGTTCTTGGGAGTGTAGTTATTTTGTGTATAGGGAAATGTCATGCTGATTCTTATTTTGGAATGTGCTTGAAAAGGGCAATTGCTGTTGGATTGGGAACACTCCCCTCGCAACAGAAAGTCATAACTTGGGAATGAGAACACTATTTATTAATTGCTGTTTTTAAAGCACTATTGCTTGCAGTATCTGGATTTCCATCATAAGCTGTTATGTCACCCTGTGTATGCTGTGTTCTTTTTAATATAAGACAGCAGAATGAAAAGGTTGGGTACTGACAGTCAGAGTCATTGCTATGATGCAGGAAGAGTAGGGTAATAGCTAATGGCAATGCTCAAACATCTCATGTAAAACACCGTATTTGATTAAAAGGAGAGAAACTCTCCCTGATGCTTGGATGGCGCTTACAAGCTTTATAGGGTGTTCTCTGATAGCAGAAAGGAAATTAGCTTTCATTACAAACTTACAATGATGGTCGAAGAAAGATTATCTCCCTTCGTGCCCCGCACAGGCAATTACATAGGACTTTTGAAAAATTAGTCTCTTTCCATTACATGCCATAACTTTTTAGCAGCCTCCATCTCACATATGGACTACTCAGTTCATTAGTCTTCTTTGTTTGCATATTGCCAGGTGTAATTTTAAAGCTGGATTACCTAAAAAGGGGATAATACTTCTAAACCTCTTTCCTGGCAGTGACATGTAAAAACAGTGCATTTAGACATTTATTTTTATCATTCATAGCTCAGTGAAGATTAATATGTTGCTTAAAGAACACAGCGTTTTCCTGAATGAAATTTATCAGTTGACAACCCTGAATTATTCCTTTAAGTTAAAAAAAAATATAGACTTTGGCACTATTTTAAGATTTTGGAAGATTGGCTGGGAAAGTAACTTGCAACTCCAGAGAGTTTTAGACATACACACAGTGATTATGTGTTTAAAAATAAAATTTATTTAAAGAAATGTAAGGTTCAGACAGGCTAACAAATACAAGGCACTGGAAGGTTAAGTCTCACACTACATCCTTAACACAACCTGTTAACTCTTTGCAACACATAGAGTATATAACATCATCAGCCATCTACTTTGACACTCTTATGGACAGCAAAGTGAGTTAAAGATGAAGGAGCAAATGTGTGTTTATTTGGTTTGTTTGGACTATTTAATGTTGCTTAATTTTTTATTGTGAAATAAAAATAAGTTGGTTTGAGTGGATGTGATGGGATCCTCAAGGTACAACCTGGAACTGGGATACCATTGTGCCCTCTTAACTCTCCAGCCTGGGCTATCTCTCACAATGCTTGGGTAATGACAAGCAGAAAACCCTTCAGGTGCTGTTGTCACTCATTACAATATCGCGTGGAACCACACACCAAGCTAAATTGCATGAATGCTCCCTAAGCCACTCATAAATCACACAGGGAAAGGCACCAGCAAATCTCCCAGGCCCCCAACCTTGCACCCCTAAAATATACCATCCTGCCCTCATCAGAAGCCTAGCCAGTTCCAGATAATTGCCCAGTTTCTCCCTCGATGTAGAGAGGACACATACTAGCGTTTGTAAATTGAGCTGAGATATTTCCCAAATACTTCAACTAAAACACAGATTTAGATAAAATATAAAACAGATTGATTAACTACTGAAAGGTAGATTATATATGGGAGGCACAAAAGGTCAGAGAGTGCTACAAAGAAAAAAAAAGATAAGTGCATAGTCCAAATCTTAAAGCTTATTACAATAGGCACTATTCGGATCAAGCAGGGGTTTTTTTTACCCTACTGGATGTCTCAAGTAGGTACATTTCTTAATATACAGGTTTCCCCTTGAAGTCTGGGACCAGTCTCCTCAGTTCAAGTCTTTGTTCTCCCAGTGTTCATGTTACTTCCACTGTAGATGGGGGAGGAGACCAATAGTTGTATGATGCCACTGTTCCCTGTTTTATACCCTTAGTCCATGTGCCTAGAAAATGGAAAATACTAACCTCAACATGTCCTAGGGGGCTGTGCAGAGTTGAACAGTCTCTCATGCTGTAAAGCTTGGACAATTCTCTTGAAGAAGTACAAATCCCTTGTTTACAATTCTCCTGCTGATTAATGGTCATGATGCTTTTTTCAACGCCTGCCCAGATGTTGGTCACGTCCTTTGTTGTCACTAGAGAACTAACAGTGCACAACTCCTAAACTTACAACTTATTACAATAACAGATATATAGAAAAATCACATAATTTCAGACCTACTTACCCATATTTCTGTCAAAATACATATATAGTTATCAGCAGATGATGCTATCTTGTATCACAACCACATATAAATGATGGATTGGAAGTTACAGGGTGCTTATATGAGGTACAGTGTGTCACAAGAAGGAAAATTAGAAAGGGAAAAAATGAAAATCTCATTGACATATTCAGTTAGCCATGATCTACAATGGCTTTCAAGAATTCCAGAAGAAGAATGGCAACTTGCAGAAAAAAGATGCATGGTTAATAATCATGATTTTATATATACTGGATGTGCCCAAGTCCAAACATACTGTGTGTGTTGGGACACTTCTTGACATTACAGATACTAGAAATATTGAGAGGCTGTATAGGTAAATCCAGCAAAGAAGAAGGGAATGTGTTATAGTATGAAGGCAATTAAAAATAAGAAAAATGATCAGTAGATAGGCAGAAATAAATACTGTTCAGTATAGAAGCTATTGTAGAAGGAGTGGTGTTACAAATAAACATATACAAATCTGTCTGGTAGCCGCTGGGCTTAATAAAACACAGTGGAATTGCATTGCTTTTTGTGGTTTATAAAAATACAACTATCACAATTTTATTCCCTACAAATATGGTTATGTATTTGACCATTTAGTGGTGATGCAGATGTCCCCTTTATTCCCATCTGACTGGGGGTGAGAGGGGATATTTTGAGTGTCTGCACTCTAAGGGTGTGTCTAGACTACCTAGTTTTGTCTACAAAAGTGGACTTTTGTCGACAAAACAATACCAGCGTCTACACTACCGCGGAGTTCTGTCGACATAACGTCAACAGAACTCCGCGGTTTTGTCGACGCTGGTATACCTCATTTTACGAGACAAAACACCTTCTGTCGACAGAGTTCTGTCGACAGAAGTTGTTATTGCCTGTAACGTTGCGTCCAGACTACGGAGTTCTGTCGACAAAGCGGCTTGCTTTGTCGACAGAACTCCATGTGTCTGGACGCAAATTGTCGACGGAAGTTTTGTCGACAGATACTGTCGACAAAACTTCCGTCGACAAAACGCGGTAGTCTAGACGTATCCTATCAGTGGGCACAACATGTCATGGGACTCAGCAGCCTCAGAATTTCACAAGTTGTGAGCGAGTAGGTTCTCATATTTCTCTAGACCTAGTAACACCAACTACTGAAAATTGATTTAATAGAATCATAGAGTACCATAATTTAGCGAATATACCCCACACCCAAATATACCCCACAGTTTTTTCTATTTGAGTAAAAAAAAAAAAAATCTTATATACCCCGCACACAAATGTAACCCGCGGGGTATACAAGACTTTTCTGTGCCGGGAGTATATTTGTGTGTGTGTGTGTGGGGGGGGGGGGGGTATTAGCCCCAGGTTCTAATGCAGCCTCCGGGTGGGGGAGTGCTCATCCCGCAGGTTCCTCCACAGCCGCAGGAAGGGGCGGGGGAGCAGGAAGCACCAGCCTCTGGGAGGGGGAGTCCTCACTGCCTGGTTCCTGTGCAGCCGCAGAAAGGGGCAGGGGGATGAGCGCTCCCTTGCTCCTTCCTGCCCCTCCTGGAGGACTGGGAGGAGTGCTTCCTGAAACAGATATAATGGAAGACTACAAGCCGTCCTCCCACAATTTTACCAAACCAATGGCAACAAGAGTAGACAGAAAAGAAAGTTTTCTGGTTTTGTAATGGTTGGCCTTATACCAGTCTTTAGGAATCAGGGGGAAAGTGTAAGAGTAAAGCTCCTCAAACAAAACCCTAAACTTTATTTTTATTAGCTTTAAGAACCAAGACCACCGGGTTCTTATCGGGTTCATGCTTGTGCTGTGTATGAGATTATGCCAGTGCTAGAGCTCACATCTCAAAATCATAAGATTACTCTTGAAAATCTTGATATTTTAAAAAAGTTTCTTCTATTTGGATTATGGGTTTTCTTGCCTTTCGAGTTTGTTTTCTGAATTTTCTCTGCAAACAGGAGGGGTTAGAAACTTACGTTTTCAAAGAAAACATAGATTCTCACATAATTAACTGACTCTAGAGGCTGAGAGTTTGTAAAAATAAAGAATACCAAATATTTTGGGACATGCAATAAAGTTGTGAGAGCTGCCAGCACTGGGTGTTGCAATAATTCTTTACAGCTCTATAATGCTTAGACTTGGATCTGGATTATCTTTGTTTCCTTTTGAATGTCAGGCCAGCCTGGTCTCTGGATTGGTCATGTGGAAGATCAAATATCCTATGAGGCTTTAAAGCATTTGTGTAGTAGGGTTGCCAGGTGTCTGGTTTTGAACCGAACAGTCCAGTATTTGAGCTCTCTGTTCGGGAAACAAATTGAGAAAATATAAATGAGAAAATAGAAATGTCCGGTATTTTCTAAATAAGATGTAATGTAGATTGTGATGTAATATCAAGTGTATCCGGTATTTCTGTTGAAACCATCTGGCAACCCTATTGTGTAGACTAGGATTGTGTAAAGTTATAGGGCTATTGTTGTATAAATTGGTTATATAACTAGCTGATTGGGAAGGAAGAGCAGCTCCATTGAAGCATCTATATGTGCATACTCTTCTCCTAGTAATTCCCCCACTAGAACTTTACCTTTTGTTCCTGGCAGTGTAGTTACGTGTGACTGCAGTTAT